CTTCAACTCTTGCACTGCTCTAAAATATGGTTTTGCTTCAGGACCCCGATTTTACATTGGACTCTGTAACAACCCATTTTTAAAAATAAAAAAATTTCCGCCAATAAGATAGAGAAGTTTAAGTCTATTTATTTAACAATAAACAACTGTATGGTTTCATATTTGCATTTAACATAGTTTTCCAATGCTGTATGCAAATGTATTAAATGAGAACTGTGGATCAATTTTGGGTCAATTTTAATTTTAAAAACAACATCAATTAAAATGCATTTAATAAGATGATATTTGTTTACTAGCTTTGCAATATTTAATAATAATAATCATCATTATAATAACTATTGTCTGCCACACTGTAAAAAATATTTTCAAGATTTGTTATCACAACATATTTTCTTTTGTCAAATCAACTTTATAATAATTTATTTAGTTGAGATAACTTATTATTTTGAGTTTCTGATGATTAAATTAACCTCCTTCATTGTATTAACTCACTTTTTCCAGTTCAATCAACTTAAATTTTTAAGGCAACCCAGGTTACACACTTTAAGTTAAACCAACAATATTTTTTTACAGTGTAGTAATCACAACATTTTTTCTTTTGTCAAATCAACTTAAATAATGTATTTAGTTCAGATAACATATAATTTTGAGTTTCTGATGATTAAATCATTCTCCTTCATTGTATTAACTCACTTTTTCCAGTTCAATGAACTTAAAATTAAGGCAACCAGGTTACTTACTTTAAGTTAAACCAACAATATTGTTTTACAGTGCAATAAAGTGAATTCTGGTGTGTGAAAATAAACAGGACATAGAGAATGCTGTGTCATAACTTGGTGGGCTTTGTGGAAATTACAATTCTCTATCTCGGTCTCTTAGTGTGAGATGTTGGAGAGGAAAAATAAAGTCTAAACATGCCATCTGGGGCAAAATACTTGAGACTAGCACTAGAGCATGAGAGCAGGTATTCATACAGATTGGATAGTGGCAGTGGCAACCCAATCTGACAGTTTCATTTGTGACAAATAACTTGCATTCATATCCAAGACTATTTCAAGTAGTACACTTGTACTTTAGATGAGCCAACAGTAAACTACTACTTATTACAGGTTACTCATATATTTACACCTTCTCGTGAAAAGAAAAATTCCAGAAAAGAGAAAAATGCTTCAGTAAAAGCAGGGTTTGAGTAAAGTTGCTAAAATGATCCCATTTTCCCTTGAAGCTACTGATTTTAGTACTCTTAAGCGTACTTTTGGACACTTAAAGGGATACTTCAGGATTTAGCATTAAGCTTTGTATTAGTAGAAAATTTGTAGCATTTTCAAATTACCATGCTTCCCACCCTCATATCCCCCTGAGATGAGAGATCTCAGAAAAAGAAAAGTATGAGAAACATGAAAGTGGGAAAAGGGGACAGGCTAGTATGCAAAGATGTTCGAGGGATAATTAAGACTTGACAAGCATGTCCAATACAGCTTTAATGACACAGCCACCTGACAGTTAAAGAAGTAGCATGCCTGTCAGTGTGGCAACCCCAATTAAATACCAATTGTTGTCCAACAATGCTGTCATCAGAGCGGTAGATACAGACTGATTTTGTATAATTGCATGCCCTGTAGATCTAACACAGGCCTGTCTTTGTGAGCTGACACTTCATTCTACGAGATGTTGTTTTGCACATAAATTAAACAATTTTCCTTTCTTCTCAAAGCCTATTTTCTTCACATGTGCACTCATTGTCCCATTGCCCCTGTTCAAGCCTAACATTAGACTATGGCATCATTACTACAGTGTTCCTCATACTTACTGTCCTGCATCGTATCCGTTAGCGATATCTCAAATTGCTCAACATCTTGAGGTTAAATGTGATATTGTTATTATTCTATACAACCTTATTTTTACCAAAAGCATCTTTCACAAGTGTTAAGTAACCCCTCTGACTCGATGGGCGTGCTAACAAGGAGACAGAAGAGTTCAAATGCTAACTGGTTTTCAGGTTTTGGCATAGCAAATATGTCATCCCTGAAACACTCTATAGGATGACAGGTTTCCTCAAGATTTTCTATAATGGGATTTTTCAATTTGTTGGTAAGATTAGGTCTGTGGTAAACAGGCACGTGTACACATAGACATGGGGCTTGAGCACCTGCCCTTTTTTACTCTTGGAGAGAAAGTGCCCTTTTTTTCTAGGGTGCTTTTTTCTAATTTTTGAAAAATAATATATATTCCTGTTTGCGCACAGCTTCCCTGTCAAACAAATATATTTATTGAAATGAATAGTGTATCAAAATATCAGGTCAGAGGTTCTGAAGCGCTGATCAGAGTAAACGCGTCTACACTAGTGAGCTCGCGCTGCGAGGCCGTTTAAACTGAGCCGAGCGGATAAACAATCCGTGAGGCACGCGCGGCTCAATGTTTCGTTCCGCTTTTGGCGCATAAACATTGTCAAAATTTTATCGGACTCGATATTGATATCGTTATTGACGATATTGACTCGAACTTGATATCATTTTAATATCGAGAAAAATAACACAGTCTCATCCCAAAAAGTCATATAACTGACGTCTTGGGACGTTTTTTGACCGTACGTCAATATCCACCTTTTTAGGGCCCCCTTAAACGTCGGTAGATGGCGATCCCGGGCCGTCATACAACTGACGCTTTACCTTTAACGTCAGTTAGGTGACGGGTTAGGTTTAGGGTTAGGTTTAGGTCTGGCGTAGAGTTAGGATCCCATAACCTCATCTACCGACGTTTAAGGGGGCCCTAAAAAGGCGAATATTGACGTATGGTCAAAAGACGTCCCAAAACGTCAGATATATGACGTCTTGGGATGAGACCGGGTTGAGAAAAATATATCGAGATAATGAATGAATGAGCATATCAAATTTAAGACGTGGCTAAAACTTGTATGGAAAATCCGGACGATTTTATGACTTTTTATGGGCTAAAATTCTTATTATTAAAGTTAATGACTTACATACATCAAGTCTTTCACCCTGAAATTTAAAAATCTAAATTGGTGAATTTAGAAGAACCCTACAACGAATGAAGAATAGTAGCCTATAAGGTTTAAAACAAACTCCATCTAAATGTGGATTTTTAAGGTTTTATTTGATGATGATGATGATGATGATGATGATACAGTCCTCCTTCAAATGTGAAACTAAGTCCATGTCACCATCAGGGGTATCCAATACTTGATTGAAACTAGCATAGAAAACATTGTAGCCATGGTTTCTGTGTGAACTGATTATTTTGTAGACATCTTTTGAAAATGAAACAATTGTGTGAGTTTGAGGAAGATAAAATTAATTTAACTTTTTTTTAAAGTCAGAGTTGTAATATATATACTTTCTTGTTTAAAAAAGTAAAAAAAAAAAAGACGTAATTATGAGAAGTGCCCTTTTTTTTTTACTTGAGCCCCTGCCCCTCAAAATGTCTGTGCACAACCCTGGTGGTAAAAATAATTTGAAGATACTTGAAGGTTTTGCTCTACAACTTAAACTGCAAACACCCAAACGTTCTAATCTTAAAATTATTCAAAATTTGCGTTTTCGAAAGTGTCCATGTATTGTCAAGTTATGTTTACCACAGACCTTATTTTACTCGTAAAATGAAAAATAAATAAATAAATAAACATTATAAATATCCATAGGAAAATCTAGAGGAAACCAGTGTTGAATTACTCTATTGTCAAATGAATGTGGTTCAAACAACAGAGGTGCAACGGTTTCGGAAAACAGTCGTCTCTGAGTCTGATACATCATAATATGGTGGTTAAAGTGATAGCTCACCCAAAAATTAAAATTCTGTCATTAAATACTCACCCTCATGTTGTTCCAAACCCGTAAGACATTCGTTCATCTTCGGAACACGAATGAAGATTTCTGTCCCTCCATTGACAGTCTACGCAACTACCATTTTAACACTACAAAAAGAGACAGTCACTTTACATGAAGAACACATTGAATTTTGGCTTTCATTTACATACAAAGTTGTACGGGAGATGCACCCCAGATTAATGTCCTAGATTCATGTTAAAGACTACGCAGAACATCTTAGCAAATGATTAGCAATGCCCAGGCAACCACACTAGCATTTCTTTTGATAAAACAAGCTGGGTTTCACTGCATAAACATGTTGAACAGCCAGCATGCAGTTGGCTGATTAGTATTAATATCTGAAACTTCAGAGAGGTATCCCAGCATTGGACTGTTGTGATTTATTTATGACTCGAGTTCAGCAAAACACTTCTGTTGAATATAAGATAACTTTGCTGATACTCCTATGAATTCTTCAAAACTTTGTTGAGGTGGAATCTGTGGTGTGCCAAAAACATTTATTAAATGCGTCAGCAACAACCTGCTTTTAATGCTCCAAAACTGCACAATTCACTGTCACATATTTTGATATTGTCTGATGCTATGTTGATAAAAGACATGAGCGACAGTATTTTCCCATAATAGTTTCAGCATTTGTTAATTTATATAATATGAAAGATAAATAAATGCAATTTATTTAAAGCTGGTCTTTAAGAGACTTCCTTTGTTTGATCAAACATTACTGCATGCATTCTTATGGTATAGTAAACCACACACTTTTTTGTTCAAATTCATTTTAACTTTATTCATATTAATTTGAAAATATACTTTGTAACAGCATCATGTAACAAATATGAAGTATTTCAGTTCAGTTGGCATTCAGTTTGGTGGAGGGTGGTCACTATCAATTAAAATGGAAACAGAAAGGAGATTTTTTTAACTAATGACCCTAATGTAATTTTAAAAAACATCTGTAGTTTTGTCTGGGGGGACTTTTAATGTTATAATAAAACTGAAACTAAAACAATGTACAAAACTGAAAGCTCTAAAACACAGTGACCCCCAAACATTTTGGCCAAAAGTAGGCTATACATGTTTTGAATATTACTGCATTAAAATAACAAAGTATTGAACAAAGTGGCATTTATTAATAATAATAGGCTATATTTTAAAAAAAATGACAGAAGCACGTTATAAAAACAAAAAAATTATAATTTAATCACATACACACACACACGAAAAAAATGTTAGTAGGCCTAATATGCTGCTCAAATTAAAAAGCATTTTGGACACTTTCAGGTTGGAACTGACTTCATACATTTACTAAAATCACCGTGACATTGCAAAAATGGCTAAAGAAATGAAAGGGTCAGTTCACCAAAGAATGCAAATTCTGTCAGCTACTCACCCTCAAGTCGTTCCAATGTCTCCCATGCGCTTTCACGAGAGCCCCACGACGCATGCGTGTTGTGTTGACGCAAGAGCAAACGTTGTGCGTTCCAGACAGCTCGGAATTTGGATTTTTGGCACCTCGTTCTTAGAAGTAATGCTGCCTTCCAGGCACGTTTTTGAGCACGTATCACGACACCACGACTTTGTAGCATTCCAGTCCAGTTACGCCAAACTACCTGAGCGCAAGGAATTGTGGTAGCAAGATGTAAACAAACCAGCATGGCGGACCTTATACGCATTTGTAATAATTTCTGTTGCCAAAGTTGCTCCTTGTTTATTTGAACGGCGCATAAGGCAAGATAAGCTGTTTTACTATATTTGTAAATGTTGATATTAATTTATCCTTGCACTCAATGGACTGAAAACTAGTTAACGTTATTGTCCTGAAGTGTATTCTCACCGTGTATCGCCTGCAGAGACACACCGCAGGGGCTGCCATTGTTGTTTTTTATGGTTTCACGGGTTAGGTGACGTCAGAGCCCGTAGCTGTGAGTAGGCTACATCGATCTACGAGTTCACGGGTGTGATTGTGCCATTACAGTGCACTTTCACGGGTATAAGGTTGCAAAACACAGGTTACAGGTTGGCATAAGTCTGGAACGTCACTCAAATTCGGACATTCGATCCGTGAACACTTGATCAACCCCAACCACGTCACTTCAAAGATGTCGCCAATGAGCACAAACGTAAAAATATTAAGTGTATGTAACCTTTGTTTTTGCTTTTTGTCAGCTGTTTTCAAAACGATTTATGTTTTTTTTTTTTTTTTTTCTCGTCGTGGAGATGTGGTCAACATGTAAACACGTCTGATTGGGACAAATTAAATTCTTAACAACCTTGTCTGGAACACAGCGCAATATGTTTTTATTTTATATTTTTGTGTGCAAGAGCACCCAGTCGCTTCATAAAATTGAGTTGAGTCACATGGATTACTTTAATCTTTACTTCCTTTCTGGGGATTGTGCGCGGGACATTAAAAAGGTCTTCATTTTTGTATAACATAAATGAACGAAAGTATTTGTAACATCATGAAGGTGAGTAAAGAATTAACTAGTGTCAATGCAATTACCACTTGGTTTAATATTTTGTTATTGAATGCCTCAAAATTATTTTTTTAAGTGTGACTTAAGTGTCCAAATACTTTTTAGGCTCTTATAAATTATTTGACATATTTCTAGTTAGCTTAGCACATACCACCATCAGTAATAATTCATAAGCCACCCAGTGATTTACTGCAAGTGCTTCAACTGTAGCAATTTTCTCATCATGATCATATAATACAAAGCAATCAAACCAAATGCAGACATACAAAACAAAATGTCAATAATAAATATAGTTCACTCTAGATATGCCAGTATTGTTTTAAAATTAGGTTGACAGAAGTAGATAATCTTCGGTTGCGTCTTTCTGTAAGTCTTAATAAGTTATATTTACAACTAATAAAGGTAAAGAATAGAGAAAATGGGCACTTATGGAGGGAAGGAAAGGGCCACAGCTAACCATAGAAGCAGCAAGAGAAGAAGAAATTCACAGAACTGAGCGTGACGCGGAAAGAAACGGGTCTGAGGAAAACAGAACATCACTTGAGATCAAATCAAACGTCACATATACAACATTGAAACAATGTCAGACCATTACAGACGGCACATGTTAAACAGAACTGATCGCAAAGAAATGAAAAATTGATGCAACAGTCTCTATATATTTACACTTCCTATAACTATACAAAAATACTATTCACTTCCCTTTAGAAGAACCCAGCTGTTACAGTCACTCCAAATGCCTCATGGCTCAGAAATACACTACATTTTACTGCACAAAAAATCTGTACTTCCCACTCCATTCTGAATAGTGAATCACCGCAAATTGTACGACTCTTATACGCTGTTTCTCGGATTGCTTAATCTGTATAAACAGACGCTTCCCTGCTGTGGTTCCTCATGCATCAGTTTACAAGTTAATATCTCAAGTAAAATGATGAAATATGGTTCAACTATTTCAAATATGGTTAATTTAATTCATTCCAGACGGTTCAACGTGATCTCATTAGTATTCGTAGGCATGTTTAATGTGTAAAATACAGTGTGGTTCAAGTGCAGGTTTATTTTCATACATTAGTAGCTGATAAAGGACGATATCAATGTGGGAATATACCCTTTTACACTAACGGAAGAGTTTGGGGACAGTTTTTTAAAGAAATTACTTTTAATCAGCAATACATGGATTTTCTTTTTCAAATAATGCTGTTCTTTTGACCTTTCGTTTCAGTTTAGAATATTTTAAAATATTACTGACTGCAATTTTTTTTTTCAGTGGTAGTGCCATTAACTATAGAAAGGTTCAGATGTACAAAAGTCTTTCACTGATTCTGACCAGACTAAAGTTTAGACCAAAGTTACACATTTGGAAGGGTTTACACTTTATAATCATCATAACTTGAATCTGAATGTACAAGTATGTACATACACACATTATCGGTAATACCTAGATATAACAATGAGATCAAACTGGCCAGTAATGAAGAAATAAAACGGCTTCATTCTTATCAAAAATGGCATTTCTAAATCAAAAGTTCACAATGATAACGGTGCCTCGAGATTAGGCTTTGTTATATTTGGCAGTTAACGACTGTTAAAATGTGCAAGCATCTTGTTGCAAAAATGTCTTTGTGTTCATATGCCACAAATCGGACAAAATATCACCGAAATGTGATTCATTTGACTAGTCTTCTGACACTACGTCATTAAAAGCACAGAAACTACTAACGATAGTAGATTGGAAACTACAGGGGAAACACTTCTGAATTTGTGCTACACTTCTTATTAGGTGTGAGATCACAGACAGACAACTACAAAAATAAAAGCACACACTTTTAAACCACAGACAGATGCCTGCTTTCTAATTATATTAGGGCTGAAAAGTGGCACATTTAAATCTTTTAAGTGTTTGCAATTTTACAAAATACAGCTCAGTTATGTGACATAGTGACGCGTAACACAGCATCACATACCCAACCTCCCTAATTCATGTAAACCTGCTGTGTTAACTAGAAAATTTGTTTTATGAAATACAATGAAATGCCCAAAATAAAAACATAGCAGCCATTGTGAATAAATAGTAATGATAATAAAATAACTGTTGTGCCCAAATTCCATTTTCCAATCAGATTACAGGCTCAGGTACTGACGCACTGAATTGTACAAACTCAAAGTTACTAGTAAATATGTTAACCAGCAGATTAAAACTAAATGTATTCATTTGATTTACTAACTTCAGTTGGGAACAGACACGCGAGGCAAAATATCACCTACAAAACACTGAATATATATATAATTGAAAGTCAACATAAAACAGTTTACTTCCTTAATGTGATGCTAAACAGGATATTCAGACTTCATTTTATCTACCGTGAAATGATTGGGTTGTGAAAATGGGCATATAATATCAGCATAAAATGCCCTGGATGCGAGTTTGTCGATTACAAAACTTCTGGTCTTCTCCTGAGGAGACTTTATGACTGCGATGTGGAGGTCAAATTCAAAATTCAAATATTTGTTCAAATTGATCATTATTAACAATTTTCACTCAGAAATTGCTATTAAATTGCACAGTGAATTAACAAGTAACATTACATTTTAAAGTACAAAATCTTTGTTTTTTCTCTGAAGAATCATTTTTAGTATAGTTGCTATTGATGAAATCATTTTGACATTAGAAGTTATTTTAGTGGTGGAAGTTCAAGTTAAACATGGTTATGAACATTTTGTCAGTGAAAAAACATGGAACACCCATAACATTAATGAAGTAAATAGGATCAATTTCATGTTGACCTTATTGTGTTGATAGCATACTGACCAAGTCTGGACATGTCTTCCAACCAATAACAGCAAAGTAACAGTTACAAATTCCGGCAAAGGAGATTTAAAGTTCCCACTTAAGTCAGGTACCGATGAAGTAAATGAATGTAAACACCCTGTAAACCATTCAGTGCCGTTCTTCCTGATAATGAATTCTCCGTATCTCTCAACAGGTGTTGTATTCCCAATATGGACAAATGCAGCCTTTTATTCAACTCATTGTGCTGAGCAACTCGACTGTTCATGATTTCGCAATCCTCTCAGGTCTAACAGTAGTCTTCCCAGTAGGGCAGCAGTTTTGGCGGTATGAAGGATTTGCTGAAAAAGTGCAAGTGTTCCAGTCAGGAAAATATAAAATTCAAGTGCATATTCACTCCTATATTCTTTTAAATACACTTCTCTTTCTATTCAGAATGATTTTTTTTTTCCACTTCCAAACATCCATGTTCTGTTTCAGACTCAAATTAAGGACCTTTGAGAGCGTCTGGAATATTCGATTTCACCAAGGTAATGATGTTACTAGATGTGCAGTCCTGTATGAAACGCTATTAAAATACCTGTAGAGGAGAAAAACTATGTTCCCGGGTGACTGACAAGGTTTTTGGGGATGGATGGTGTTTGGATGGGATGCGTTGACCTCCTCCCCAAAGTGTTTATGCCATATTTTATGAGGCATAATGTCAGTTCAGTGGCTTGTATTGTTTCTAGTCCCGTTTTTTGACCACCGGAGGATGAAGGAAAGACGTTTAAGGTGCTGGTAGAAGAACCAGGCTCTACAGAGCATGGAGACCTGGACGTTAGACCACAGTGTTCCTCTGCCGGTACGGAGGAGGAGGCAGGACTGTTCCTGGCTTCATTCCAGACAGATATTCAGGGTTTTCAGCCACGGCAGGCTGTATGCGGCCGTTCTGCTTGTAAAGGAACTTGTTATTGCAGACCACCGGAGAGTCTTGGGAGTTCTGAGGGGTGACCTTGGGTGGAAGGCTGTGCTGCCAATACTCAGGATTGTCAAAGCTATTCTTGTACATCTTGTCCACTAATGTGGTCCCAATCTGGCTGCCTGGTTGCACCGGGTGACCTGGCAGTTTACCTACCACTGAGGACTTTGCCAAATGAAACTGTTGTGGGGAACGATTCGATTGGCTTGGGTGTCCTGGATGGCTCACAAGACAGATCTGGCCTGCTGGTGCTTGCGAGACAGATTTGCTGGCGTGATCATGGACCGACTGGACTGGATGGGTATGTTGATCATTTTGGCTCATCGGTACAGGGTGTACCAGCTGAACCGGTGGTATGGCGAAGTGAACGTGAGGTCCGTGGCTGTGATGATGGGGTTTGCCCAGTTGTGTGATGTGGGGAACGAGGGTGCCTGGAGTGTGGGACGCTGTGGTCACCTGCAACGGGACAGTGACTCCATTTTTCCTTAACATTTCCTGGTTCATGTCGCTGGTGTTGTTGAATGTGTTGAGGTAAAGGGGCTCATTGATGTATTCATCTTCACATTTGGGCTTTCCATCAGGGGTGCTGTGGTAACCTGGGTTGTCTAGCGCGTGAACGTCTTTATTTTTACGCCTCGTTACAAAAGGGTTCTCCTCAACGGGATTCAGATGATCTACAAAAGTGACAGACAATGACATGGATAAAACAGTGTAGACATTTTTATACATGGCCCTTCATATAAGAAAAAGTATGGAATTGGTAAAAAGGTTAAATAATTTTATAGATAAAAAAGTAAAGTAACTTTAAACATATTTGTGTCTTAAGGTATAAAATAATATTAAGTACAATAATAAAATAATATTATAACTTAATAAGCCTACAGTAATGTACCCTAATGTAATTCATTTCTTCAGTGGAACATGAGGCAGCAAATTCTTAATTATACTGTATCTTGACTACTCAAATGTGATTGAGCGATTGAGGACTGGGGCTGTCTAGCTCCAAAAAAAAAAAACATATATTTTTTTTTAATATATATTAATATAACTTTATTAATCTCAAGGGGGAAATAGAAGTAGGTCCATACTCCATAGAGCTAAAAAAAGCTAATAAGAATACAAATTGTCTAAAATATATTACAAGTAAACAATTAGAAATTAATATATAATTTCGAACTAAACAACTAAGAATAAATATTTAAATGAAAACTAAAAGAAAATATTTAACATATATAAAAACCATAAATATATTAAACAAAGTAAATATTAATAGACAATACTAAATAAATACAAATACCAGTACATTCATTAGAATGTCATCTTTTGAGTTCCACAGAAGAAAGTAATACAAGTTTGAAATGACATCAGGATGAGGAAACCATGACAGAGACATGATGAAACAATCTGTATAGTAAAAAGCACTATATACATAAAGGTGACTTGACAGAGCTTTTACACTTCCTATAATAAATGACTTGAGAACATACTTGTGGAGATCTTGTCTTTCATAGGGGACATATAACCATCCTCATCTGTATCTTCCCTCTGTCCTTTCTCTCCCAGGAGGACCGTTGGGTCTGCACTGTAACGCTGGCCGCTGCTGTCCTCTACCGAGTGTTTCTTCAAGCTTCCATTACAGTGTGGATCCTCTACCGGGTCCAGACCTGCTCTTTGTAATCCTGGCGGGACCGAGGTGCCACTTCCCGTAGCGACTGCCACATGAGGTCGGGACCCTGTTCCCTCCTCGGGGCACAAACTTCCATCATGATACCCAAACTGGTTCTGATCACAGGAGGAAAATAAATTAACTTGAGGAAATAAGATGCTGAGGTTAGAGAACAGTAACATGAAAAATGCATTTTGAAAATGTCACGCAATATGGCATTGGGAACTGCCATATTGGTAATACATAAATTACAACACCAACTTAAATTCATAAATTAAAAAGTGGATATTGTGTTGCTATAGAGACAGACATGGGGAAAATATTCAAAACAAGCACAAGATACAGGGTGGTGTGCAAAAGTAGGAAAGCATCCTTGTTTCTTTGGTCTTCTTGATTTTTTTTAGAATTCGGGGCATCACTGTATTGAACATATATTTTTAGACTGGGCACTCAAGTATTGTATGAGGCAGGAGGTGGATGTCATTTTGCCTGTTCTTTTCATTACTCAGGTGAAATTAAATGCTGTGACCAAGTTGGAAATGGAGAGAGTCTATTCAAACAGTAATACTGAAAGCTGTGTGCAGCGGCACTGCTCTATGTGATTTCTAACCGAACAGACATGATCGTCACCAAATTACACTGCTAAACATACACCACTGGTCACTGTTCAAAAGTCTTTTTACATTGTTACATTTCTATTTCAAATAACTGCTGTTCTTTTGAACTTTGTAATTATCAAAGAATCCTGAAAGGAAAAATAACTTTTTTACACAAAAACATTAAAGGGCAACTCCCGCGCAAAATGAACCTTTGGTCTAATAACATATTGGTACCTAGTCAGCCGTTCTCTGAGAATTGTTTTCATGATAATCGAATGTAAAGAGTTTTATCTCTAAAAACTGTTTATAGGTAGTAACTAGGGCATCAAGTAATGGAAAATAAAAATACCACTAACAAGGCTCAAAATAGCCCCACACTAACAGTAACATAATGAGGGTCCCTACATGCAAACATTGAGAACTTTGTAAGTGTACAGACAGTATAAAGACAGTCCACTTCACATATACAGGCAGAAGCCATCTTTGGAAAACAGTCTCGACAAGTCCAACCACGAATTTACATTCGATTATCATGAAAACAAATCTCAGAGAACGGTTGACTAGGTATCAATGTGTTATTAGACCAAAGGTTAATTTTGTGCCAGAGTTGTCAAAATTGATAATAGGAATAAATATTTATTGAGCAGCAAATCATTTGACTGATTTCTGAAGGGGAAAACAGATATTTTAAATGGTAATAATATTTCACAATATTACTGTATTTTTGATCAAATAAATGCAGCCTTCGTAAGCATTAGAGACTTTCAAAACATTCAAAAATCGTATCGACCTCAAACCTTTGAACAGTAATATAAAGTACTCATCAGAATTAATGAATCAATGAACAAATAGAGTAGGGTCTCAAAGTCTGAGACCACACTGGGACTGAAAATCTAAAATTGCTGAAAAACCTGGAAACAAACAAAGTTTATGTATATGAAGAATGCAGTCTCATATATGTTGCACTACTCTATATTATTCCAACGCATTCTCATCCTAGAACGCTATATGACAAAACGGCGCTATACTATGCACATGGCACCCATTATCGTTAATATAACGCGCTGTGATGGGTAGGTTTAGGTGTGGCGGGGTAGGGTAGGGTAGTCTCATATTACGCTAAAGGATTTATGACGCCTTGGTTCGCGTGTTATATTACGATAAAGGGTGCCATGTGCGTAGTATAGCGCCGTTTTGTCATATAGCGTTCTCTGTGATGCGAACGGGCTGATTATTCAGTTGAGATCATAATAGCTGTGGAAATACAATATTTATGCACTGAAAGGTTTTTAAAATTATAATCGAGAGTATATATTGCTTGAATGCATAATAATATGTGACAATATACTAGGCAAAAAGAGATTAAGATATATACTTTAAAAACAAAATGAAGAGTTCAGATGCAAAAGCCTCTAAGTGCCATTTGAAATTCTCTTCTAGAATGATCATTTTTATCAAGCTTGTATATTTAAGTTCAGTAATTTCAGTCATTTAAGTGAAATTACTGAACATAAATATACAAGCTTGATAAAAATGATTATTCTAGAAGAAAATTTCAAATGGCACTTAGAGGCTTTTGCATCTGAACTCTTCAAATATAGACATGTCCATGAATGTACTAGAAATAAAAGCAAAAAATAACAAAAATAAGACTATGATATGTATTTTGAAGTGACGCATATGAAGTGGTTCACCAGTGCTTACTTGATTTGAATCTACATGTGGGCGGGGCATATGTGACGTGGGAGGAGCATTTAAGGAATGAGGAACCAAGTACTCCTCAGCGTCCATCAGGTCATCCAGCTCCTCCTCATCTAGAAGACTCTGGAAGAACTTACTGTGGTTGGGGCTGGGCAGCTTCATGCGATCGTCCCCCTGAGATGACAACATATCGTGTTATCCAATGAGGTTCAGGATCATGAAACGTTTCGATTTTTAAACAGAGTGAAGTTAAGCAATCCCCACCTGTATGACGAGGTATCTCTGAGGGTCTCGTGCCATGCGGCTGAACTCTGCAGCGAGTTCCTTAAACCGAGGCCGACTATCAGCATCAATCATCCAGCCTGGAGGACAACACAGATGACTTAAGTTGCTGACTCTTGTCTGAATGTATGCCAGTGTGGTTTTATTGTGTTTACATTAACACATAACAAATATAATAACTCGATTCTCAAAATTTATGCATGCTTTGTATGTATTCACAATATATTGGGTTTAGCATTTGCTTGATACTAATTTCTTAATTTCATTTTATTTCCCCTCCAATCTGACACAAATGGGAAGCAATAAAAGTGGATTTCATGCAGGGATATTAAACTCTCAGAGGTGTTATAATTGTTATGTTGAATCAAATCATACACGGCATCTTCTAGTCAAATTTGATTACGACAAACAGATCTAATCTCCGTCTCCTTTCACTTATTTGTGGAAATGACTGTGCTAAAACAAATTGAGTGCGAGTGCATAAAGAGAGCTGGGTAAAGCAGTGACAGCAAGTACAAGACTTGATTTAGTTTGGCTATAGCTTTTTACATTGTACCTTTTGTTGTGCAAAACTGCAAAACATAACCATATTAAAGTGTGTCCCTCTAACAGCACATAATGAAGTTTAAAAATAACAACAGGTTTTTGAAACACATCCAGCATTGGTTAATAAAATGGAAAGCATTCTATATAAACACATTATAAAGTCTAAGAATATGACTCACATTTCACCATCACCATGTAGACGTCTATGGTGCAGATGGGCGGCTGGGGCAAACGCTCGCCCTTCTCCAGGATATCTGGAATCTCACGTGTGGAAATCCCATCGTAGGGCTTTCCTCCGAACGTCATCAGCTCCCAGATAGTCACCCCTGAATGAATGTGAAACACATAGCCCACCTTCAAAGCTCACTGTTGGTTATCATGGTGGACATGAAATTATGGGAGTGGATGTGAAATCACAAAGATTGTTGAGAATGAATACTTGAATGAGAATGAAAGCAGTATCCGATCTATGAATGCCACTTTTAGCTGTTTTGCATTTACTCCAAAATTTTGCTAATAGTATCCTTTGAGAATGCAAAAAAATTTGTGTGGAGGTAAAAAATGACGGAAATAAATGAATATTTCAATATACTATACTTCATATATGAATGTACTATACTGTACTACACTTTATTTTGATGATGTATTTTTTATTTAAAATGTTGTATTTTTAGGGGATTTTATGATACTAAATTGTATTTATGCAGTAGAATAAAATCCATTTATTACCCGTTAACCACTTTTTGGAGTATAGACCTGAAAACCCACTTAAACTGTCATAAATCTTGAACACTTTGGAGCAGACTTAAGTTTGGTCTTTTTTTTAAAGAAGACACTTGGCAGATTATTGCTGAAGTGAAAAGTTAAAAAAGTTATATAGGCCATTATACGTTATATAATGCACATTTTAAATGAAAGATATATTTACCAAAACATATTTTACTCAAAATCCTGCAAGAAAACCAAAGCCTCTAATTATAAACAAGTTGTGTTCTAAATTTGAGGTTGATATCTGTGATCCATGTGAGAAGTGGGAATATTTTTTCCAGGGCCCTTTAACCTTTTTAAAACATGGCCATGTTTTTTTTATTTATTTTTTTTTTTATTTTTTTATTTCAGTGTTCACATAGCAAATGCAAAAATCTTTTTAAAGTTTCGTACCATTCTGATGAAGTAAAAAAAAAAAAAAAAAAAAAAATCTAATAAAAACAAAACGATCAAAAATGACAGAAGAGCACCAAAGGGTTAAAAATAAGTTAAGTCAATGTAAAATAAATAATACATTTGAATAAAAACAATTGAGAATGATTATTAAAATATAATTGAATATAAATGTATTTAATATTACATAACTCGATAAAAGACTAATAAAATAAACAAAACATATTAATAAAAATTATAACAGTAATCAGAAAAAAACAAAAACAATGTGATACACAATTTGTTTCACTGTGCATAGCTCACCATAGCTCCATATATCACTCTGATGAGTGAACCTCCTGTAGTGAATGCACTCCAAAGCCATCCACTTGATGGGCATCTAAGTTAATGAATAATGGTTTTACATTTCAGCTTATGCAAAGAGCATTTTCATATCAACATGGCAAATCAGATCACTTTGATTATACAATAATGTTAAACACCTGGTAACACTTCCATTCCATATGTTATTAAGAACTAACAATGAAAAATACTTTTAAAGTGTTTATCAAACTTGGTACAATTACTAATATATTATTAAAATAAAAGTTGTATTAACATTACTTAATGCATGTGAACTAACAAACAAACAATGAACAGTTGTATTTTTTATTACCTAACATTAACAAAGGTTCTGAACAAATATATTGCTCACAGTTGGTTATAATAATAATGAGACTTTATTGTGGCACCAAACACTTTTTTTTGGGAAGGTGTGAAATGCATTCATGCTCAGAATTAAATGAGAGTCTTTGTGAGAGTTTCAAACACTGACCTTGCCTCCATCCGCACTGTACTCCTTTTCATCTATTTCCAGGAGTCGAGCAAGTCCAAAATCAGTGATCTTGATGTGGTTTGGAGATTTTACCAGGACGTTTCGAGCCGCGAGGTCTCTGTGGACCAGCCGCCTCTCCTCCAGGAACATCATACCCTGCCGAAGAAGAGATCTGAACAATTATCATTTTTTAATATCACATATGTAAGCAATAGAGGCTGTGCTGTATTGTGAATAAGTAACGGCTTAGGGACGTTGTTAGGCACGACGTGAAGCGGAGTAACCCCTACAGCCGTTACTTATTCACAATGTTATTGCCTCGAGTACCTTATTGCTTTTATAAAACGGTTACCAAACAATAAAAATAATAAGGTAAAAAAAAAAATTACTTTCATGAAGTAGAATCACTAAAAGCCTTCCTTCCGCTAGAAAAAATAGTCCCTGACCATGGACAGCAACAGCGTTCCAATGTGTAATATGCATGTAAGTTGAACCGCACTGATAAATAGAACCGCTGCGTGAAGTGTTCATAGCCGTGTTTTATCATGAAAGCAATCAGAATCAAGGATTGGAACTAACCGTTTTATAACTACAAGTAAAGCACATTACAGGGAAGCTGAGCTTCCTTCTCATATAGACCACCGCTGCTATACAAATGCATCAGAGATTTACGTAAATATTGGCCTGCCCAATTAGATTCACTTCCTAAGGATGTAAATTAGTGAGACATCTAATTATAATGTAATCGCATCTCCTTATTTCTCTATACCCATGTTCACTTCTTTTGCTACTTTGGGTCACTGTGCATTAATACTGATCTTAGTGCCTCTACAGAAGTTTGCCTATGATTTATGGCTTTATGTTAATCTTCAATTAAAATGCAACTTCCTGGCCTTTGGGAGAAGAGGGGAGCTGTGCTGGAGGGGCTGCTAAATGCTCTGCATGTGCTTGAAGATCACTGACAGTGAGGGTTTAGGAAATGGACCTGTGGGCTTTTTCTGGGCAGTGCTGAATGAAGCCGTGACAGAATGGACTGTGGACGGGTGGAAGCACAATGAAGGACGACAACACAAGAATGGACCATTCAGGATGACCCTTTAGTGAAGCACATGCTTTCAAGACAAAATGAAAGAATAATGGCCACTGGAACACTATACAAATACTCATTAGAAAAGCCATGTTTTGTGAGTTCTGCTGTGTAATTACCAGTTTTCAGCACAATTAAACAATGACAAAATTGAGATCATGCCAACATCAATGCAGGAATAAAACAAGAAACACAAAAATATTTTTTTTTCCGAAAAAATCTAATTATTATTATTATTTTTTGTTCTGATCAAAGGTGATAAAGACTTTTACATTGTTACCAAAATAAAAAAAAGATCCATAAATGAAAAGTAATTTTAAACTTTCTATTCATCAAAGAATCCTGAAAATGTATAATATTTTCTACATTTAAAAAAAAATAGAAGTTCTAAATAGTCTTTAAAAAAATGCTATTTTTACCAAAAACATTGTATGGATTTGGACATACTGGATGTAGATCTCCTGTGAAGATTTTGAGAGATGATACAAATGAATCATTGAATCATATGAATCAATTATCTGAAACAAACGAATCAAACTAGTGCCATTTTTGCCACTGACATTCAAAGCAAAGATGATATGAAATGCAATAATCAAATAAACAGTGTTTTAAAAACAACAGTATATGCAATTATTATCTGAACATTTATGCATTTCACAGCACTGGCAAGAGTAAACCATAAGCATTCTCATTTATCTCAATGATAGTTGCAAAAATGCAACGTTGACTCCATAACGGTGCGTTTAGCGTCAAGCAGCCAAACATAGACAAACTCCTTGACTAATTCACGACTCTCAGTGACATGTCATTTGCTGACTTTTTGTTCCAGAGGCAATGATCATCGCTGCTCAGAGCTACTTATACAGCTGTCTGGGAATTTATGTGTGAGCATGCATGAATCAGACAACAGCTGAGTCAAGAACACTGTGTTAAAATATATTTTCTCTGTGTGATTCAGAGAGAGACATTGACCCATCCATCACACAGCAGCACTGTAGATGTGGCTGCACACTCTCTCACATTCACTCTCTCTCTCAAGTATAGTCACGCAAAGTGCACACATAAGAAAAAGCACAACGTATAATACAGAATAGCTTGAGGATATTGCAGGTCAGTTTTAAAACCTATCAAGTTGCTTTGTCATCTACTCTACAGGCAGAATCCTCAATGAGCTTTTCAAGATGCTCAATTTATGACAGTTTGTTGTTAGCATGTTGCAATACTTTTCAAATGTCTGAATATTTGAATTTCTTTAAAAAAAAAAAAAAGCTTACAAAAGCTTTCCATATAAAATATTATCATTTTTTACTTTCTATTAATCCAACAATCAAATGTGGTTTCCACAAAAATATGAAGTAACACAATTGTTTTCAACCTTGATAAGCTATGTTTTGTTCATTTTAAAATATTCTCAAATGAAAAAGTTATTTTAAAATGCTAATAATATTTCACAATATTAATGTTTTTACCATATCAAATGAATGCATAAGCATAAGAGACTTCTTTCAAAAACAGAAAAAAATGCATTGTAGAGTATAAAAATATACAAAGCATACACATATTGTGTAAAACCAATTTTTAATCCAATTAAATTGTATATTTATCAAAAAATAAAAATGTTTTTTGTTGATTTCAACTCATCCACCATCTTAGACTCTCACAATTAATGTAAACGCAGCCAACCCGGTCTCATCCCAAGACGTCATATAACTGACGTTTTGGGACGTCTTTTGACCATACGTCAATATTCGCCTTTTTAGGGCCCCCTTAAACGTCGGTAGATGAGGTTATGGGATCCTAACTCTACCCCATACCTAAACCTAACCCTAAACCTAACCCATCACCTAACTGACGTTAAAGGTAAAGCGTCAGTTGTATGACGGCCCGGGATCGCCATCTACCGATGTTTAAGGGGGCCCTAAAAAGGCGGATATTGACTTATGGTCAAAATACGTCCCAAAACGTCAGTTATATGACTTTTTGGGATGAGACTGTGTTAACGCAGCAATATACAGTGCTATTTACACATTCAAAATCAAAGTACCCATTAGCAAGTTTACGTCCAAAAACATGGGACTCTTTTGTAAAGTATTTCTGCCAGTTTAAGAAACGCATGTCCGTTTTTTTCCACATTAAGGATGTACGAGCAGCCAGCTGTTGATTTAGCACTCAAAAAAGAAAAAAAAGGAAACGTGAGAGAGATCTTTAGCGAACGCAAACCTGCTTTTGTCAGCAGAAACACATATGAACTGTATCCAAACTAAAGTATCCAACGCTGCAAATCTTGAATCTTCAAATTTGATTCTTCACTCTGAGATCAAGAAAGCTGGATCTAGTGGAATTAGCATGCAAACGACAAGCTTTACTGCTGGCGGCCTTTAATGTTCCTTTCCATACAGAAGCTCTCTATCCCACCAAAGAGATGGGCTAGGCAGTGAGAAGCAGCCCTTTGTGTGTTCAGTTTGACTGAAGTCAGATTAAAGCAAGAGCAAACCCCGTCAAAAGCTACCGGCGTTTAGTATTACAGGCTTCTTGCAGGCTAGCGCGAGGAGCAGGTCCAAGCGTTAGCGTGACGTGCATGTAAGCAGGCCAGAGCATTCGAGCAGCTCTGTTCTCTTGTTTTTACATCTGCGTTACTAGAGGTTAAAGTTTCTCCGAACAAAAAGAGAAGAGGCTCCCGTAGTGCCCTATTACAACACTTTCTAACCGCTGGCATGGGAAATAACAAATATTAGATGTGCACGACCACTGGGGCTTAATTAAAATCAGAGAGAGAAAGCTGCATCTAAAAAAAAAGATGGCGGAGGAGAACACGTCGAAAAACCCTTCGGGGTCAGAGGGTCAAGGTTGTTGTTGTTCCAGTTACATTCAGATTAATGATGCTATGAGAGATGCTGTTCAATAAAACAATTCAACAGTTCAAGATTTAGTAATCAAATCAAAAGTTGTATGCGTTAACAATAACGGTATAAATGATAATTATTCTGGATATCACATGACCATTTAAATGAATGGCATTTAAAAGACAGCAACACTCAAAAAAATGAACTAGGGAGGTTGTGCACTTTACATAATATATTTATATATAGTTTACTTATATTTTTTGACTTTAAATGTTTTTTTTTTTTTTATTAAGGTCTATGTAATTGTGTCTCAATTTAACAGTACAAAATCCTAATGTGTTGCCTAAACACAAACCATTTATGTTAAGTAAAAAATGTGTACATCCAGAGGGTGGCAGTATAGAGCGAGCCGACTGCCATTTTTCACGAACTTAATTTTATTGTGTTCAATCTGCTTAAATCTACGAACAACTCAAGTTTACTTAACCCGTTTGTGTTGGATTACATGATTGATTTGTGTTGCCTCAACTGAAACTGGGCAGTGCTTTTAGTTCCCAGCATGCTTTGCATATGGTTGAATTAAGAGAGAATAAATGTTAAAATTAAGTGTTATTTTATGTTTTGTTTTTTTTTTAATTTAGAAAAGGGGAAGAGTTGATAGTGTGTAATAGTGTTTAATGTTAAATGACATTGGAATTATTAAACCGTTTAAATTACAGTGGGTTACCATTGTGGAGAAGAGTGGAGCATTTTCTCGACTGATTTCATTATTTTCTATTGATTTGAATGATGTAAATCTTAGCATTCAGGATGCTAATATGTGTTTCTGCTAGCAATTAGCTAGCTAAAGTCTATTAACTTAATTAAATGTCACTGAATCAAATGAAATATATATATTGAATCATATCAGTAAGCCTTTAAAAATTCACGTTGAGACTACTTAAAGGGTTAGTTCACCCAAAAATGAAAATTAAGTCATTAATTACTCACCCCCATGCTGTACCAACCCCGTAAGACCTTCGTTCGTCTTCGGAACACAAATGAAGATATTTTTTATTAAATTTGAGAGCTGTATAACTACCACATTGGCTCCTAAAGGACTGCCTCTTGACGGCCCAGAAAGTCAATGAAGAAAATGTTTAAATATCCCAAGTGACTACCGTGGCTCAACTATATGTTTATCAAGCGACGCGAATACTTTTTGTGCGAAAAAACAAAAAAAATAA